GAGTTAAGAAATAACAGACGCATGAGGTATGGGACCTCTCTAAGAATCATCGAATCTGTTTTTATACATCTTGACAAACAAATTTAATCATAACGTAGATTGTATCAAAAAGGATTTGATGACAAAGAAACTTCAAGATAATAAGAAGTTTCATGAAAATTTCTGAGACACATTCTCAAGATTTTGGATAGTAGATAATTGATGAATCAAAGCATTGCCCATAAATATGTTTAAGAAAAAAACTACATAAACCATGGAGAAAGGGAAAAAAAGAAGAAGCATAAATACGTGCGAATCTATAATCTTTTTGCTCCCACTTTATCCATTGTTATTATTTCATTTCTGTGACTCATATGTAGAGGGTTTAGTATAGTTTATTCATTTGTCCAGAGATTACAGTACGGGAGAGGCTAAAGGCAGATATGATTACATAAATAGGTGTTAATAACCCAATATTTAAATAGTTGACAAAAACAAAATTTAAATACTAATCGAACAATTTTGGAACATGGCTAATGCTTAAACAAAATGAAATATTCCATCTCAACTACGGATAAAATCAATAGACTTTGTTATGGAATATTAAAAAGTAAACCCATATATAAATTACTGTTAGCAGCTACAAATCATATCTAAATAGCATCCTAAAAAAGACACAAATGCCCCTGACTTAGCGTAAGAACAAATGGCCATGTGAAAGTGAAATTGGTGCTGCCATTGCCTCCAGCCTGAACGAGAAATGCATGGGCCCGAACAAAATACACACCTGGCCCAATTAATATTCCAAAATCCAAAAAATCAAATAATGTTTTTTGTTTTTTTTTCGCCAACATGAAATTTGATAAAATTATAACTACAAAGGCCAGAGTTAACTTTCGACTTTCGAGTATGTTGATTGCAGTTTTCTAAAAATATATCAAAACAAAACGACTCAACATTACTGTTTTATTGTTGTTGTATTTGTTGGGTTAAAATAGTTTCGTATGGTTGGTTTAACTAAAAGACTACAACTTTTAGTGTTTTTAATAGAAAGTTGATGTGATGTGCTATATAAAATCTCAGCTGAATGCTGCTCAATGGTGAACTCTCAACATAATTTGCGTCGAACTATAAATTAATTATTGAGCGATCCATTTTCGCACCCCTTGGACATGATCGATCGGATAGGTCGACTACTACATAATTTGTTGCTGTGCAATTTCTAATGTTTCGATTTTTCAAAAAAAAAAAAAATTCTAATGTTTCGTAAGGGATCGATCAATCCCATTACAAAATTATGAAATTTTCTATATTACTATATTATTCAAGAGAATACCCAGTAAAAAGTCATTACTATTTTCATATTTATCAAAAAAAAAATTAAGGTATATCATATGTGTACCTAAACGCAAAAAAAAAAACACACATTATTAAATATCTTTGAACCAGGTGCATGATCAAGGCAACGTAACATATCATGGAGATTCCGTGACCCACTTACCTTT